GCTACCTTGTTTTGCCCCTAAGCCACATACGAGAGGTGGACCGCTGCATGAATGGGAGGGGAGGGGGCACATGAAGTGAGAGACCCAATCCCAGTTTCTTCGAATCTGCGCATTCAACACAAGCTCAGAAAAACAATGAGAGCTTTTCTTGGTATGGATGCTTAACTTTACACAATGACGAAGCAATAGCACATGAGCCACTATTGAAATTACATCAAGAAATGATGAAGTGCTTATCATTTGTTATGGGCAAATGACCGTCGTCGTCGGGTGCCCTTGTGCTCATGCCTGAGCTCTGTGACTTAAGTTGGCTCCGCCACTAATCTTACACGAAGATAATTAGGAACCGAGGTAGTACGCAATGATAACAACCATATAGTGAGCACACCGTCGCTGGGTGCTACAAACCTTCTTCCAGCTTAATTATCTGCACCCGATCAATGCTTGTTTTTCTTGGATTTCTGAGTCAAGCGGTTCCTTCTTCTCTGATAAAGGATCAACGACAGCGGCACGTCGATGACTCGTTTTGACGGTAGTAGTGGTCCTTCTCGAAATTTTGATATAAATTTTATTATATTTAAAATACTTTGTATACTTTCGATGATCTTCTATAATAGACCTGATCTTTTGGAAAAAAAAGTTTTCTCCTACTTCGAGCGCCGCCGGTCTGCTCGTCGACACAGCAGTTGGGAGATCGTTCGGCCATGGCTTGTTGGTTGCTATCCGATAGCTATCGAGCGGCTCACAGCCGAGTCGGAAGCCCTTGTGGCACGCGAGCTACGAGTGCGCCGTCGAACGCTGAATCCGAACACGTGGTGGCAGATCACGTCGGGTATGTTTTTTTTTTCTTTCGATCCATTATTTTTACCAGACCCCCCGCTGGGGGTTAGCCCGACTAATCCCTTCCGTCCCGCACCCTTCGTCTAATCGCCCCCAGCCCATGGAGGATTCCAAGGGGAGCGACGGCGGCGGCGAGAGGCCCGGCGCCGACCACAACCCTAGCCCGGATCAGCTCCCGCCGGTCGCCGCTCCCGGAGGAGGGGACGATGCCGCCGCCGCTGCTGCTGCGGCGGCCGCGGCCTTGGCCGAGGACGAGGCGCGGCGCCCGTTCACGGCCCTCAGCCAGGTCGACGCCGACCTAGCCCTGGCGCGTGTCCTCCAGGAGCAGGTAAGTGGCGAGATCTCGCGGTCTGGGCCGTCCTCTCCCCGTACCTAGGGTTCCGAGGCGCGCGACTAACATCCCGTTTGGATCGGTTCGGTTGCAGGAACGGGCGTATATGATGCTCCGGATGAACGGAGTCGGCGGCGGCGGCGGCGAGGGCAGCGACTACGGGAGCTCGGAGGCCGGGAGCTACGAGTACGACGAGGATGCCGAGGAGGACTACGAGGAGGAGCTCGAGAACCACCTCCGCGTCCACCACCACGAGCACCCAGGCGGTGGCGAGGTTGATGGGGACGATGATCTCGAGGCTGATGGCGAGGGCGAGGGTGAGGGTGAGGGCGAGGATGAAGGCGAGGATGACGGTTCTGAAGAGAGCGAGTACGAGGAGGAGGGGTTTGATGAGGACGAGGAGGTGGAGGATGTGGATCTAGACCCGGCAGAGTACGAGGACGACGAGGCTTATGCACGGGCGCTTCAGGACGCTGAGGAGCGTGAGGTTGCCGCGCGGCTTATGGCTCTCGCTGGGATCAGCGATTGTGAGTTTGGATTATTCTTTTCGGGTCACTTCACAGTTCGCGCGGGTTGCTGATGTACAGTTCTGCTTTTCCTTTGTAGGGCGGGCGGTGGAGCATGTTGAGGATCACATAAACGACGCGCAGGTACTGATTTATGTCTCCTTGTCTTGGATGGATTTAAATTTTGTATGCAGAAGTTGGAATTTGGGAGCACTCAGTTTTGATGAAATGATCATGTACCGATAGCGATGCTTATTTTGTTAATGCGCGTGAGACACAGTGTAGTAGTACTTGCTTATTTTCATTGATGCAGTGATATAATTCCTTGCTAGAGCTAAATTATTCTCTGATATACCACGACACTTATTTTGGAATGAAGGGAGTAGTAATCAAAGCCAGATGCCTATGTGAAGTAGGCAGCGTTGCCGCATACCACTCTTTGCTAGAGATGTGGTTGTGCTGGACGGATTTAGTGTTTCTTGGTCGTTGAAGGGAGTGCTGCGGCATTCCGTTTGTTGATGCTGCCTCTCCTCTCGCTCGGGAGAGGCATTTGTTCATCTACTGGGTGCGTTTCGGGCTGGTCGTGTTCTAACCTCAGGTTTGACGTGTAGAAGTGCAAAAAAAAGAACCCCTCCAGCAAAAAAGGCGCTGCAAAGCGTGCATGTGCGTCTAGTAGTATTCTATAAGCGGTAAATTTACCTCCTGCTATATTTTCTCCGAGGATTACGGCAAGCACCTCCAGTTCCTCTAATTTATACGCGGAGAACTTTGTGTTTGCTCAAATTGTGGTATTGTGTTTTTGCGTACTCGTTGAAACCAGCCAAATTTGAACTGAGTAACTGACTATTTACAAATCTGCGCGTGTTATTGAAAAAACACAGGATTCATGGCAAGAGGTTGATCCAGATGAGTACTCTTATGAGGCAAGTTGTTTTTGTTTATTCCCTTTGGTGCCTGGGCCTGCATCTAAAGTTCCAAGATGCAATGCTAATGGTTCTAGCCATGGTTTCAGGAATTAGTTGCATTGGGTGAAGTAGTTGGTACAGAAAGTAGAGGTCTCTCTGCTGATACACTTGCTTCCTTACCTTCAGTAACTTACAAGACAAAAGATATGCAAGATGGCAACACAGAACAGTACGTTCAAATACTTTTAAGTTTCATAGCCTTCCAGTAATATATATGTTATTGAAGTGGCATGCTGACGTGTAATTATTGTTGGTAGATGTGTAATTTGTCGTGTGGAATTTGAGGAAGGTGAATCTTTGGTTGCACTTCCCTGCAATCATTCATACCATCCTGACTGCATTAATCAGTGGCTTCAAATAAATAAGGTACAATGCTGCTTTTGACTTGGTTATTGTGAGAACATGTACAATAGCTTCCCAAGTTTTCTGGTATGAAGAATATCAGGCAATCACACCTTAATAGAAAATTTAGGGTTCCTTTGTACCTCTACTATACACCATATGTCTATGCTTATACTCTAGTTATTATACAGCTATGACTTGCTTTAGCCTTATACCGGTTGTCTGAAATGCACTTCTGTGCACATACCTTTTTAGAGGATTTTATGATCAATAGTTATGATTTAGTTCCATATATCCCTTTTAGTAAAGCTAGTTTCATATATCCCTTTTGCAAGTCAAGTAGAATATCATAAGTAGTGGGTGCTATTGGAAGAGGTATGTTGTAATAATTATTAGTAATACACCCATTTTGGTTACACAAGAGTTCTTAAGCAGTTATCTTGTCTCGCTTTGGTTAACTGAACATAGCATGGTGAAAGAAATAAGGAAGGGCTGACTGCTTTGTTGCGCCTCTGAGCATTTTCTTTCTTTGTTTGGGCTTCAGTTTCTTGAATAACATCACTGTCCACAACTCGCCTATGGGATTCGTAACCGGTCTATAATGGTGTAGATAGACAGTCAAAATGTTGCTAATCACCAACACTCAGTTATGCACCGGAAACAGTATTCTTTAATGTATTTACCATTAGACCTAAACTCAATTTACATCTTGACTTGAGGGGAGTAATAAAATAAAGCTTTTGGCCTTCAAGTTACAAAATTAAACTTGTGTACTATGAAGTTTTTTCCAGTCTCCCCTGGGTTAATGAAATACCTGGACAGTCTTCATGCGCCTGGTGGTGAAGGCTGTGATCCAATACCTGGACAGTTGGCACGGATTATAAATCCAATAGCTTAGTTGGCTGACACAATAGCTAGGTGGACCCATAATGCAGGAAATAATGAGGCATAAATGGTTTACCAAACTAGAATTCATTTCATAAAAGCACATTCTTGCTGAGAAATTCTTATATATGACCCTTTGAATTGTAGCCAGCCAATTTCGGATAAGTTGTATCCCTTACTACAAAAATGGCAGGCCTTACCGTGCAGGGAGGTTGCTAAAGCAAACAAAATGTTTTCATTATTCATGTCTTGATACAAATATATCAACTATAAGATTCAGCATACATATCGATATAAATAAAACATTATTTAAGTTCAGGAACCATGCAAATACAGCTACAACCCTATAACAATTGAGTAAAGATACATATAAAAGTTTATTTATTTTCAAAATAATCTAAGTATTATTCATCTTCATGCCAAGTTATCAATAATACTCCATTTGTCTCAGCGACACTTATTTTGGGACGGAGGGAGTAGAAGATAGACTCCCACTGGAATGGAAAAGATAAAATCCATCTTCTTAGCTAGTTTGGACCTCTCGGGCTTGCTACAAGTAGGGTCCCCATGACCAACTGTACCCATAGACCTAAATCTGAAAGAGGAAATGTTCATGTGTTGGCTCAGCGTCAAATGCACGTTTAGCTTATATTGCACTGCATATGAGTAGAGCAGAGACACAATGGATGAAGTACACGGTGGTTACCTGTGAGATTGTTTGTGCGGTCTCTGGCCACATACTCCCTGGTTCTGGCCATCGTTGTGCCTGTGGTGGACACCTCCCCAATGGATATTGTGCCATGACCACCCAACATTTCCACCATGTGCAATGTGCCAGTGTTGAGGCCGACTGCGCATGATGGAAATGTTGGGTGGCTGTGGCACAATATGCATCGGGGAGGTGTCGAACATATGCACAACGCTTGGCAGGGCTGACCGGTGGTGGCGAACAAGGCCCATGTGCAAGTCGCACGGTGATGATATGATGAGGATAACCAGGATCACAGAGGTCGCTGCAAGAGTCAGCGCAGACACCCTCACAGGCAGCCATCGTGTTCTCCATCCATAGCGTTTGTGTTTGATGCTCAGATGTAATTCAAGTTGAACGTACATTTGATACTAGGAGCTAGCACCTGAACATTTTCGCTGTCATTTGTGTCTACTAGTGCAGTTGCTCGTGGGGGTCCAGCTAGTGGCAACCCCGAGCGGTCTGAGTAGCTAAGAAGACGAATCTTCTCCCTTCATTCTTCTGTTGGTGGCAACTTTGCAGGAAGTTAACAATTCTCAGATTACTTTGAAAATAAATAAATTCTTAGATGTATCTTTACTTAATTGGCTGAGTTGCATTTGCATGGTTTCTGTACCATATTATGTTCTATTTACATCTATGTCTACTGTGAATCTTAAACTTGAAATATTTTTGTTAACACATGAATGAACGAAAATGTTATTCTTGTCTTAGCAACCTCCGGGCACCCTAAGGCCTTCCTTTTTTCTTAGTAAGAAATGCACCTTATCCGAAGTTTGACGGCTATAATTCAGGGTTACTATGCTTGTTAAATTCTTCCTATATAAGAGTTGCTCGACGAGAATATGATCCGTACAAATAAGTTCTGCTCTGGTAAAACATTTATCATGCTTGTTTTCTGCTTGTAGAAAGAGCATTTGCGCCTTTTTATTTGCTTCTGCTAAAAAACATTTGTTAAGTAATATTAACACCATGATTTATTGATTTTTGTGTGTGTTAATTATAGAGGTAATTCAAGTTGTTGTCATGTATGATGTCTAAACGATTGCGTTGCCCTAATAAGCTCTATACACCGTGGCTCCATGCCAGAGTCCTCTACCAGTAGATTGTATCTTGTTGATCCCATGTTAGCCGAGGATTATATACACAATAGCATAATGCCCGTGCGTTGCTACTGAACCACAAAACTGATTGCAGTTGTATTTGATGAGTAGTATACAATAACCAATGCACTTTTTACTTGGCATATAAAAAGGTAACACACCATAACCATAAAAGGGTAAGAACACTATAGCAGTTTAACGAATGGCACGTGTTTGGGCTGGGTTTTCAAATTTGGAAGTTAGGAGGAGTGGCGGCCGGAGGACGGGGATTGGGGAGGAGGGGTGGCTGGGAAAACATTCATTGGCAGATAGTCAGATTGACTGGCTGGGTCGTGTCGTGGTAAAAGAAAATGCGTACTACCATGTATGAATCGAATACTTTCCATTCAAAACACGAGTGATGTTGTAACTTGCTGGTTTGATTGAGCTTTGTATAGCGGCAAGTGAGGGGTTCGAAACTCCGCAATTGCATTATTTGCTTTGTTATGATTTTCTTTCACAAACTAAAATAGGGCCTGTTCGGTGGGGTTGGAGACTCCACCATTGCTTTTTGTGTGTTACAAACCCGATGGATCCTGGGTGGATAAGGGAGTAGGGGTGAACTCACCACCACCACAACCAACTTGAATTTACAAGACAGTAGATATAGATTTGCAGCTCTCAGATTTTAAATTTTGACAAGATGTAGTTGACTATGTGCAGGTATGCCCTATGTGTAGCGCAGAAGTTTCTACCTCAGCAAGCAAGCAGGCATGACCAACAGTCGTTGGTAAACCAACTTCATCTTCAGAAAAGAAAAGAAAAGAAAAAAACCAGCTGTTGGCACTTGGTGGGAGCATGTAGTGGCATCATTCTAGTATCCCTGATGTTTAAACCAAAGCAAGGCAGCAGAAACTTCTACAGTACAAACTTGCGAGGGGACCAGGGACATGGAGCATTTTTTATGCCTTGCCGCTGATGCTCTGCGTTCTCTTACCCTGTACACTAACTGTGTTATTACCGTCGATCAATTTTTTCTTTTCTCAGTGTATATTACGAGTATCGCATTAATGCATTGGGATTTAGAGATTTATATCTGGAGCTAGATATGCAGTATGGATGTGCTGGAATTTATATATTCCCATTTAAGCGCTTGTCATCACATCAGAATTGATGAGTATTCCCAATATTCACAATTATAGTCAATCAATTATGAATGGTCGAGCATTACTTGGATGAGAATAAATGCGGATTTATTTTGATACGTAATGTATTAGAAGTGAATAAATGCAGATTTGTTTTGATAAGTACGAACTAATCTCGTTCCTTAAATAAGGCGCTCGGCGATTCTATAAATACCGGTGTCCACATTCTAATCAGAGCACCCATCGGCATAAATTTAATCCTCACAACTCTCGTTCTTTGGCAGTCAAAAAAAAACTATCAGTCTCCGAGTTCTCTCGCTTTTTCTCTCTCGCAAACGAGCCAGAGAAAGACAGGTATATTGGGTTTGTAGGTTCCCGCCGTTCTCGTGATATTTACGGTCCGTGCAAAGTTTATATAGCTAATATTGTTTTCGTTTCCTTTCAGTAGTCTGAAAAAAAAGCAACCCCAACAAGGACATGGGGCAGCCTGGAGGCCAATCAAGCACCGGAGGTGTTAGCGAAAATCAGGCCCAACGAAGCAACCCCCTTGGCTACCTCCTCACCGCTCCTTCGGCTATCGGCAGAGCGCAGGCCCCTCTGAGGGCATCGTATGAGCATCTCGGCCTTCTCAGAGGTGGTGCACCACGTTCTGGTCCTTCGACCGCGAGCGTCTCCCCTACCCGGAGCCCCCAGTTCGACAATCTCCTCGCTGGCCGTACTGTGTCTGCGGGGAGCAACAATGGCGTGGGTCGTGGACTGCCTTTCCCCACGCTAGTGGTGCAAGGGCAACAACCGATGTACCACGCCACTGGAAGGGACGGTGTTTTGCCATCGTCCCTTATGCAAGCTCGGAGCACCGACCATTTCACCTTTCAATCGCCGCAGCCACGCTCCGTGGCACCGAACAGGGGAAACCGCTTCTATTCACAGCTTCTCGCGCCGCCGCGACATGTGGTGCCTGTGCAGTTCCTTGGTGGTCTGACCCCGACGGCTTCCGGGGTTCTCAACGCTTTGTCGGCACTAGGAGCGTTAGAATTAACCCGAGCACAGAGTGTCTTCCTGCTTAACAGTGTAGACTCTGGTCGCCGCGACGCGCTTGCGCGAGAAGCGGGCACAAGTATCATGCAACGGAGAGAGCCGAGCCACCGTGTCGGAGAGCTTGCCTTTCTCCCTGGCACCAGATCTGTGCAACACATGGATCCAATGGGCTTTGGCGGCGGTCTCCATCATGAGCCTTCGCTTCTTGTAGGCACAAGATCTGTGCAACACACGATTGGCTTTGGCGACACTCGCCTCAACGAGCATTCTCTTCTTGCAAGTACCAGACCCGCGTTGCGCATGGAGATGATGGGCTTCGACGTTCATAGCCTCCATAGGCGTGTGCTTACTGGCACCGGATTCGTGCATCGCACGGAGCTGATTGGCTACGACATAAGTCTCTTTAGGCATACACTTCTTGCAGGCCCCGGATACGTGTCACGCCTCAACTCTGGCACAAGGCAAATGATGGAGTCATCAGGCACAGGCATGACACGTGAGGACAACCGAGCGGCGGCGAGAAATGAGGCCATATTGCGGCGCATGAATAGGATGGTTAGGATCTTGGAGGACGGGAGAAGAGCCCGCGCTGACATCCTTGCAGGTAATTACACCCTACTTCATCCATCATGTCCCTCCTTTGCTCAGATGCAAGTGGGATCCATGTTGAACTCAACATTTTTGCTTTCTGGTTTTGTTCCAGCTTCTCGTGGTCGTGGGCGGCGAGGTGGTGGCAACCGGACACTGCCAGACGGGTGGAACTAGCTAAGGAAATGGATCATGTCTGTTGACTAATATCCTCCGACATGAAGAATAAATCTTAGTTGTGCCTTTGCTTTGCTAGAGTTTAAAAATAAATGGTCACCGGACCAATGTCATGTTTTACTACAATTTATCGTTATTGTAAGAAGGATTTTAGTTTTATCTGTTCATGTTTCTGGGTGAAATGCAATTTTATATACCTCTTGAATTTTCTTTTCCTCGAATACATCATTTGTTTATTGTGCAAGAGCATATGTCTGTTGGTGATAGTTTAGATGATAATAATGTAGAGGAAAAATTGAAATATCTCATTGTATAGTTGGCTTCCCTTGGTAAACCTAGTGTCGATGTTTGATACTGACAGTGCTAAAGATAGCTAATTTGTTTGGAGGGTGTGGGAGTGGCAGATCAGAGTGGCTACAAACAAGAGACAACATGAACTACCTGTGTTCGTGTTCGCACATGAACACATCACCCTGAAAGCAT